CATCCTAAAATAACACTTGGAGCATTCAAATGCTATATCATCACTCTCCCGTATGCTTTCCTCACAATGGCCACACATGTATCCATCGACCGAAACTGCCCGAACGCAGGCAACTGGACACCCATGGCACCCGACCGAAACCTCAAAATCGAACTTAATCTTTGACAGATGATCGAGACAAGGAATGCAGTTCGCGTGAAAATATTGCTTACATTTTTCGCAACCGTAGTGCCATTTTCTCCAATCCATATCCTTTTCACAAATCTCGCAAAGCCCGTTTTCTTCTTCTCCTCTACTCGAGCTCGTGATTAGCTTCAAAAGGTGTTGGTCGAATTTGTGGGTGACCGTGTCCGGGAGAAGAGCACAGTGCGGGTGGATGGAGAAGCTACGACAATTTCTACACATGTATGATGTCATCGGATATTCATTCATATTTTTTAGGCAGCATTTACACGTTACGATCCCAAAAAAATTGTAGTTTGCCCACTTCATTTGAAGAATGTGGGCCTTCCCGTGGGCACTGTGCGTGATTAAGTGAGGCATTAAGGCACACACCACATCCATATACGTTTCCTCTCGTCCTTTGATAAAGTAAGCGGACCCATTGCATTTGTGCTTGCAAACCACACACTCGAATATGGCGAAGGGCTTCATGACTACCTTTGGTATAAACGAACATTCACCTCTCATGTGGTAGGACCAAAAAGTTTTTGGAAAACTATAACAACAGATGTGCAGAAAGAAATCTTTGCACGTATTATTATTATGTGCGCAACTGTAAAATGGATAGGGTGGAAGGATAATTTGAGCACAGGCATTGCAAACACGAACAATGTCATTGTGACGATTGTGACAGATCAAGGGATGCTCGTGAAATCTGATAGTTTCTAACGAAAACAATTCGCGGGCACTCGTAAGTGATGAATTGCTAATCCTAGAACTAATTGGATGGTCTTCACTCGTTGTAGTACTGCCAAGACCAAACAACGGGTAATTGGGTACCTTGGATTTTATAATACGCGGCATCACGCTAGCGTGCTCGTTTTCGATTGGCAGATGAAGTAAATTCGGCAACTCTGCTTCACGAACCAACACTGCAAAAAAATAAATAAATAAATAAATAAATACACTTTCTGTTCAGTTTAATAATGTGTGTGTGTGTGTGTGCGCGCGCGCTAATTAAGAAAAATAATCAAACTATATATTACGCGGCTTGAATCTATGATGTCTTGAGTTAACAACACAGTCGATATGAGCATGATAATAACAAATGATACAGGCGTAAAACCCGAAACCCATGATTTTGGTGGTGCAAATGTCGCAGACGCTAGAGATTGTAGAAAATCCAAGGAAAAGAGGGTGCTCGTGACTTGATGTGTCGATGATGGCATTCGAAAGAAGGGCACAGTCGGGATGAATCCAGAAATCGCAGCTCATGCACGTGTAAGCCTTTACGGGTGCATCTGCGAAATGGGGACGACCATTATTACGCTCTTCGACCGGCACGTGTCGTTTTCCGCACGCATTGCAGACGAATGAGTGATACGACACAGACCATGGACCCTCGTTGACAATTGTCAACCTGTGCTCGTGGCTCCTGTGTAAGACCGTGATCGACAGGGCGCACGGGAGATCGAGCCTGAACCCACATTCTGGAACATTACCCATCGGGCACTCGTAAAATTTGCTCCCGCAAATCGACGAACATCTGTTGCAATCATATCCCGCATCGTCATCTTCTTCTGGGCGACGGTGTCGGAGGATGAGGGCTCCCCTCGGGTGCAGGGGATGGCCCGGGAGTTCAGAAGGGAGAGATTCGCCTGAGCATTTATCATGAAGCCGGAAATTGTTGCCCCGCGATCCATCTATGACGAAAGGGGTGGAGAATATCGGGAGAAGACAAGCAATGCATGTCCATGAGTTGGCGTCGTCTGGGTCGGCCATGTTTTCGACCTCGAAATAAGGGGTAGTGTGTCTTACTGTGTAGGGTCCTTCACTCATTTTGGAGGGTGGTGGTTAGGAGAATGGCTCTTAAAGAAGAAGCATCAACATATATAGGGACAAAAGAGCGCATGTAATGTTAACAGCGTTTTGCTGATTTAGCTTCCAACTATACTTCAAGTATCTAATTTTACATTTATTCCTTTCTTTCATCAAATATATATGCACTTTATCAAATTCCTTATGTCATTAAAAAGCACAAGTAGGATCAAATGGGAACAGGTGATAGTAAAAATAAAAATAAAAAATCATAGTGGCGAATGGGGCTGATCGCATCTCGTGGGGCTTCTCGGAGGATGGAAAATTTTCTACGACGACTGCATACCGCTCCTTAGCCCCTCTGACGGTTGTAACTGAGCAGATACTATGGCGATTAATTTGGAGAACTCCAGCTCCGTAGCGGACCCGCCATTTCCTGTGGATTGTGGCTAGCGGTCGCTTACTTACTAATTTGGAACGCGCCCACCGGCACATTGCGTCTGATGAGGGTTGCGATTTTTGTGGTGCGAGTGAGTCGATACTACATGTGCTGCGAGACTGTCCCTACGTCAAGCTCGTGTGGCTTCGACTGCTCCCTAGGGATATTAAGGGTGATTTCTTTCTACAGCCCCTCATGGCCTAGTTGCGTTCGAATCTCGCCACTCGTCATATAGGTGAGACTCGCAACTGGAATAATATTTTTTCGATGACGGCTTGGCGGGATTGGAAATGGAGAAACGAGAGAATTTTTAATCATAACACGCTTAGCAGTGAGGCAAGGCAGATGGACATCGTGAATTTTGTCGTAGCTATCCCGGGATGAATCAACATATGTAAAGGTGGGGCCCGCGCTTTATGTCACTCGTATAGTCCATTGGTCCCCTCCGGACCAGGGTTGGATTACAGTGAATTCTGATGGTGCATGCGATACTCTCACGGGCTTGAGCTGTACAGGGGGATCGCTTCGTAATGACTTGGGTGGGTGGCTTGAGGGTTTTCTGATGAACATTGGGACCGACTCCATTACCAATGCCGAGCTGTGGGGTTTGTTTCAGGGACTTCAACTGGCTTGGGAAAAGGGATACCGCCAAGTTATTGCCGAGATCGATAGTCAGTGCGTGGTGAGGATGGTGCTTTCTGAAGATGGTGCTGGTGGCGAGAATGTTGCCTTGGTGAAGGCCGTCCAAAGTTTGATCCAGCGCGAGTGGAACATTAAGATAGTGCATGTGCATAGGGAAACTAATTTTGCAGCGGGCCATTTAGCGAGCTTGACGGCTTCGTGCCCGATTGGAATGCAAAGGTTGACTTCACCACCGTTAGGCCTTAGCACATGGCTTGACCATGACATTATTGGGGTCTCGTATCCCCGTAAAACTCTAGCTTAATTTAGGCCTTTGACCTCCTTTTTTTGTACCGAAAAAAGCTCCAGGGCCAGTCAAAAGATCTAGCACTAGTAAAAGTGGGGCGGTGACATTTATGTAATTATGGGTAAGTTTGAATTTTTACGCGGGACACTTTAATTATTGCGCAAAATACACTGTTACACTAATATGCATTCTCTCAGACATTAATGTCACTACAAAAAAAACATGATATATTTTAACGGAGAATCCTACAATAATATATTCCAATAGAAAATCCAACTTTTACGCCAAAGGTATATATTTCGTTGGAATTCAATGAAAATACTCCGTTGAAATGAGTTTTCTATTAGACTTTGAGATGAAATTTGATGATTCCAATGACTAGTTTTTCAATAGTTTTTTACCATAGCAATTTACATTGGAATTTTTATTTTCTCCCACATTTCAACCTTTGGAAAATCTATCATTGTAATCATCAAAATCCAACGAAAATTTTATTGGAAAACTAATTTTAACAAAATATTTTTGTTGAGATTTTATCATTTTTTTTTTTGTGGTGTGTGCATCTCGTCGAACACTATTGTACATTCTGTAACGCAATAGCATTTTGGTACATTTGTGATTTTTTAACGTGCACTTTACTCATCTTATAAAAACACAAAACAAAAGAAGTATAAGAAATGAAAGAAAAAGTAATTGCTACAAAGATGTTCAGCAACATTAAAGGGATAAAAGGGTGCAGTGCATGTTTTGTAATCTTTTGGTGATTTTATCCCTAACTCCACTTCAAGTATCATCTTTTGACGGGTCAACTTGGATCCTGGCAAATCAGGCTGAAACCTGGGTCTAGTCACTTGTGGTTTTATTTGCATGCTACCCAAGACTGACCTAGCTCACTCAACTTTGAGCCGGTCAACTATGCATTGACTTGGCCATATATCCTTCTTTGGAGGATTTTGTGGGATATATCTTTATTTATTTATTTATGATTAAAAATAACTATCACAATAAGAAGATGATGATATTACAACGTAAATATATTTCAATAGATTTATTCTAATGGCATTTCAATGAATTTGTCAATGACATTATTTTTGTTGGAATTTTGCAATAGAATCCAACAAAAATTTCAACAGAAAAATTCTGTTGGAATGAGTTTTCTATTGGAATTTCAGTTGGATTTTAACGATTCTAACGGTAGATTTTTCAGCGAGGATGGAAATAAAAATTCCAACGAAAATTCCTACGGTAAAAAGTCGTTGGAAATATAGTCGTTGGAATCATTAAATCCATCTAAAATTTCAATGAAAAACACATTCCAACGGAATATTTCCGTTGGCATTTCTGTTGGAATCATTTCAACGGAAGCTATACCATTGGAATATCCGTTAGAATTTTCGTTGGAATATAACAATTTTTTTGTAGTGTATATAATAACAATAATAGCATTAACTTTTCTTGGTCAAACAAAACAAACAAAATAGTTGTTGCAAAGCAATAAGTTTCCTTGTGACCGTGCGCCGCAATGCGACAAATTAAAATTTATTTTTTCCTTGACTAACATCTACTAACTAATAGTAGTGGCGAGCAAGGTTCGATCCCACGAGGAGTGTGAATCAAATTGTGAATTTTCTCGTATTAATAATTAATAAAAAAATAAAATCTAAACTAGAAAATAAAAATAAAATAGAATAAATAAAGAGAAATTCCTAGTTCACGGTTCCGTCTACACCTCGACCAACTCTTCTAAATAAATTTTGGTATCAAATCTCGCTATCTTATAGAATTACTAGCCCTAGGCAACGCCACAGTCTGTTACCTGAATTTTTATTTATTTTTAATTTAACCGCGAGACATTCTACGATTAAACCTGACCTCTTGTATAATCCAAAAAATTGTTTTAAAGATTTAATACAATTAGCCGCTTTACGAATTAGAAAAATATACTAGACTAAGTAGTACGCATTCGTTCACTTAAATAGGATGTGTTATCCCTGGTAGTTACCGTCTTCCGGTAGCCTCTTATGAATTAAACACAACAACAATTACGAATTGAAGGTC